CACGCCGCTCACCGATAAACAAAAGATTTACGCTTTACACCGCGTGAAGGGCTGTCCATCCCAGTTCCCATTTTTTAGCAAGCGCACTGCCTTCTTGCCGGAGCTTCCAAGTAGTACCCGCAGATAATGAGAGTAAGTGTTCAGTCCCTAATTATGCAGCGGGAATTGAGATGAAAGCCCTAAGAGCTGATTTATGTCGGTTCAAAATATCTGTACGGCGCCCCCCATCTTTTCTCCTATTTTCTTGTCATTTTGCGACCACAGATACTACAGCACGTGATCGGGACATGTCCAAAAAGAGGTTTCGAAGGTTGGGCGCGTCGTACGGTCCCATTAACTCCGAGACTCAGAGTTAGAGCTCTGAATGCACGTGATTCACAAATGATGTACCCTAGTTACGCTGTTGCCTGCGGCAACTTTTTACCCAACGAGGTTGCTTATTTAATATTCACGGTGCCAAATTTAAACTTGCAAAGTGAGCTGCCTCAACTGACGAAGTTGCTCATTCTCAATGCCAAATTTGGCATGCGACGAGCTTACTTTGCGAGCTGACGAACTTGCGCACCACCTGACGAACTCCCGCGTTCCTATGAAGTGACGAAGTATGTGAGGGCTCAAAGAACTGAGCTTGTCGGATTTTCGACGTAGCTGGTCTTGTGGTCTTGCCCACTTATTTGCCTTGTACAAGCTCGTACAAGTGCTGCAAGCAATCTGTCAAAAACGCAATGAATGGTGAATGGCAGTACAAGGATTTCAGAGTTGACGGAATAAGTTAGTGGTAATGCATGCACAGTAGGCGCCGAGACTGCGCTGAATCATCTCTCGACTTAGTTGTGTACGGATCTGCATTCCCCTTTCTGCGTTACAATGAGATGCGGCGAATTGCGGAGGGCCCCGTGGTCCGGCCTGCAAGCGCGCCTTTGCGAGAGAAAAGTCCCTTGGGCTAGAGATTCGTGCGCATCTACGATGACTAACTAAATTCGCGGGGATGGGACGATTGCATTCCGAACCCATCCTTCCATTTTTACCTTCGTTTGAAGCCCATGCATTTATCATCCAGTTGTTCCACGCGCATTTTCTGTCACCTCACACCATGCCATAATATCAGCATTGTGTGCATAAAACTACAACCAGACAGCGTGTTTGTTAGGAAATGAAAACCAAGAAAAGATAATTCCAGTGATCGCGAGAAGCTCTGCAAGGACAGTCAGTGGCATGTTTCTGAGCACAAGATTTATTCAATGTACCTTTGTGTGGATGCAGGATAAGGGGTACACACTCAAGGAGCGAGAAAGAAGTTTGGCGCGTCCGGTAGACCCGCCCAAGGAGAAAAAGATTGTACGGGCGGATATGTGAGTGCGAGATGAAGGCCATTCTGCACCAATGGCTGCAGTTCCGGGCGGATATCAAGCTCCATGGCCCGGCCAAAGCAGATTACAACGCGCTTTAGGGTCCTTGATTTAAGGAAGCGTAGGAGTGCTTTGTCGGAAATGGCACAGTAGTATTGGATCTCCAACGCCTGAAGGCCTGGGCAACAGGGATTGGGGAAGCTGACTGATGGACTGAAGGATTCTAAAATCTCGTCATCGAAACTCGGATTGCCGGCGCCTGGCTGTAAGCTGATATTGAGCTCGCGAAGGGTAGATGGTAGCTCGCGAAGGAAACTAGCGAGAAACGGTTTTGAGAACTGTCCATGAGTGATGTCGAGCTTTTCGATGAGCGGAGCAGTGGCGAGAAAGCGGACATAGGACATGTTCTCGTTATTCGAGATTCCGTGAAGTTTCAAGTTCCGCAACTGTGGAAAAGAGGCCCAGCTGAACAGGTGACAGACTGTCTGAAAGGTGTCACAGTCTAGATCTAATGTATGAAGAAGCGAGAGTTCGAGAACGGGTTCGTCGAGGCCGTTGCTGACGATATCGGGAAGGTCACGAACGGGTAGGCGGCAGGTCTGCAGCTGAGGGCAGTGGGAGAGCATCTGCCGGGCCGTTTCGCTCGTCAGGAAACATTGAGCACCCCATGTTGTTGTGATCGAAAGGTTTATTAAACCATCCCAGCGAAGCGGTATTTCTATAGGGTTGAAACTGCATCCTCTAGAACTAAAGGAGGACATTTTTGGCGCGCGAAGGAAGCCGAATGAATCCCATCGGATGGCATCTTGCTGTCCGAAAAGGTCATCAATGCTGAACGACTTGAGCATCGGCACATCCACCTCGGCAAGGTGTGACGCGATGTCTAGGCGAGACAAAGGGGCTCTGAAGCTGATGTGCTCCCAACGCGATGCGAAACGGAGCAGGGCCGGAATTAACCGATTTTGGGATGTCGCGAGGTAGTTGATGCCGTTGGATTGCAGTGATATGGACAGGGCGGAGTTACCAGACCGACCGAGCCACATTTTGGTAGTCTCGGCTCGTTGGGCTAGCTTCTTTTCGAACAAATCTGGAGGATTGGTAAAATCAGGCTCCACGATGTGAAGCCGAGACCACAGGCGGGGAGTCGAGAGGGATATGTATCTCCAGGAGCTGCATATGCGCCCGAGGAGGACGGGCGCCTCCACGGCGCTCATAACACAATTGCGGTGTGTTGGAATGCAGGCTGTGAAGATCTCTTGGATGACGTCGAGTGGCAGTCGTCGAACGGGGGAAATGAGGGCCTTGTGGGCGTCCACATAGGCACTGATCCCGGTACGCTCCTCTGCCAGTTTATCGAGTGCTTTCTGCAAAACGGTGATTTCATCGTCAAGACGCTTTAATCGAAGGGTGGGTTCCACAAGGAGAGTTTGGATCTGCGCTATCTCCTCATCCTGGGGACAGTAATTGGTCCCTAGCTTCGAGGTGAACGGAGACGACATGAGAGCTGAGGCGGTGCGTGTCGCATACACGGCCACGTGAATTGATCACGCGCGCTGATTCGGCACATCTAATAGGAGCGGTTGCCGCATCGATCTACCAGAAGCTGAATTAGGGACACGGGAAAGACTATACCAGCAGTCTTGAGCAGCAGAATTTGTCCTCAGAAGGTCCGGTGGCATGAATTCGATGAAGAGTGAATAATTCGCAAAATAGGATTTCGCCCCCAAAAAAGTCCTAACTTGGCCCGCACGAAAAGCCCTAACCGAGCCTGCCGCGAAAAGCCCTAATTAAGCCCGACTTTAAACCATTGACCGAGCCCGACTTTTATGCTGTTCCAACTCCTAACTTAGCCCGACTTTTAGACTTTTTTAGACTTACAACTCCCAGACTAAGACCTCAGCGCACGATGCCTGTATCAAAGCTGTAGAGACACAATACTACTGGATGTATCTGTCCCAATGTCTGAATTAGAGTCTCCAGATGTAAGATCCCTGTTCCCGGCCCTTCCGATACATTGTAAGTTGATTTTGTGATCGTTTGAGCCGTACTCCAGTATTTCGGCCCTCCGAGTCCTCGTTCTCTCCTTCAGAAATTGGCTTCTAATCCAACTTCAGCATCAGGCCAGTGGATATTCATGCCCAATATAAGGAGGTGCAGTCGGAAAGCTGGATCTGGGCACAGGGAGTCGAAAAGTAGTATAAAAGTCGGACTCGGTCAAGAGTTGGGAAAATATACAAGTTGGGCTCAGTCAGGGCTTGAGTTAGGCTCGGTCAGGTTAAGTCCTGGCTCGGTCAAGAGTTGAAAGTCGGGCTCTGTTAGGACTTTTCGTGGCAGGCTCGGTTAGGACTTTTCATGCCGGCTAAGTTAGGACTTGGTTTGGGGCGAAAACATATTTTGGGAATAATTCTTTATCAAGTATGCGACTTCAATTCAACGACTGATTCGGCAGAGGAAAAATTTCGAAGTCCCTGGGCAGGGAATCGACCCGAGTACGAAAGAGGGTAGACGGTAGACCGAACTGTACCTGGGGATGGAAATCACAGAAAAGGCCTTGACGAGAGCAGCATCAACCAGTACTTGACCCTGAAAGTCAAGACACGACGCTGGTGCCGATTTTAGCGCCCTGCCTGGACGTAGGGGAGGCAAAAAGCTGGAGGGGTACGAAGACATAGATAGATGGATCGAAGGGCCTCTTAGTAAAGACTCAGCTTAAATCAAAATTCAAGATGTAGAGACGCAAAACTTGCGTGAAACAAGAAATACGAGCGATACGAGAGAAGCCTGAATAGGGATGCACAGACTACAATTCGAGCCCAGGAAGATTGAGCTGTCTGCTGCGTTCGACGTGTTCGAGGTGGGGAGGCGGGGCTTGGACAGCCCGAGGGGACAGAACGCACGAGATGCAGCTACCCTTGCAACGTGGAGTGGAGTCCGCGTGCCACGCAATCGGTCAGGAGTCCGCACTCCCGAGTGATGTTTGATGAAGGCAGCTTGAGTCTGCGGAGTCTCGGAGGTGGCTGTCGATTTTAGTGTGCTGCCCGGACATATGTAGCGCGGACAAAAGGAGGGAGGGCCACCGCACGCTTGACTCGCGCAGATCCACGGGAAAGACAAGTCGGGCCGAGTTTGCGGCAACGCGCAATCCGTGGACCCGGAGACTCAGAGGCGCACGGAGTGCTTCGCTTCTTGAACACTTGAGCTCGGGAACACAATCGGAGCTCTATATGGAGCAGTGTTTCGCCTCCAGACTGAGACTGCTTTCTGCGAGCGTGAGGCTGCAGAAATTAGCAGGCGGCAGTCCGACGGCCGACTCGGGCAGCTGGAGTCTGGCGAAAACTCTGTGTCGATCCATACAATAGTACGAACAGCTGGAAGTAGATTCTTCGAGCAAATTAGACCAGATCCGCAGCTGCAGGCAGACCATAAAAGCGAGAGGTCGAGGCGAAAAAGCAAGAGAGAGAGAGAGAGTCGGGCGTTACCAGATCCGGGTGACTCCGAGGCACGTGCCTCCTTCGTTGAAGTTCAAAAAAAAACCATTGCACGCCGATGAGTTAATCAATTGAAGCAGTGAAAGGAAATGCATGTGAAAAAAAAAGTGGACCCAGGGAATGGAAGGCCACACGTCCGGTGGAGGAAGAAAAAGAAAAGCTATAGCCTGACCTTGAATCGAACAAGGAACTCCCACCGAGAGGGCTTTATCAAATTACTGCATAGAAATAATAGGCATGTTACCATTACACCACCAGGCCCTTCTCATGGTCTCCCTCAGACTGACTACGTACATATGTGCATGCAAAAAAAAAATTGTCGCAGAATGAAAATGGCCTGGCCTTGAATCGAACAAGGATCTCTCTGTGAATTCACGCATACTCCGCACATGGTCGAGTATGTTACCACTACACCACCAGGCCATTCTCTAGCTTCCCTAACACTGACTACGTACGTGCGCGAGTTCTGCGCGCGGCACAAAGGACAGAAAAAAGGAAATGGCATTGACTTGGTCTTTATTCGGTGCCGCCAGACGATCCCCGCGGACCCCGCCAGACTATTCCTTTGCATTGAGTAATGCCCAGCGCGTAGGGAAGCCGGGACCCGGAAGGTCTATGAACAGCTGAATGGAGAGCAGATAATTCAACAGGAGAAATTTACGCGGGCTTGCGAGGCGCGAATATTTGCATACACTTCAAGACGGGGTTGATTCAGATGCCGGGGTAAGATATTTGTCGCGTAGATGCAGTGAAGAGGTCGGGTCCTGGATGGAGGAATGTATGGATGTGGCTTACATTTGGTGTTCACAACTTCCGCAAGAGCATATTCGACTTACGGCCAATGAGAACCCAGAAAACGTCGAAATCGATGTCGTTCCGTTGGAATTTGGCCAGCGGGAGCTTTAGCTGAAGAAAGGAGAGGCCCATGCACAGGTGGGCGCGAGGACGGAAGTGGGAGATCGCGAATACAGCACGCGTTCAAGTTGATGAGGTTGAAGTTGTCCAGGAAACCGCACCTGTCGTCTGCAGGCACTAGGATTCTGTATAGGCTGAAGAGTGGCGGACGACGAAACGCGAGGAAAAGCACTGGCCGGAGGCGAGCCCAAGGTGCGGCAAGCTCCAACGTCCAACTTCAAGCTTGAAGATGACTGACAGACTCCGAGTCGGAGACAAGAGTGAACGCGCACGTGATAGACAACCAGCTCAGTGTGACCCGACCACGACCACATCCGTCGACGGCCCACATCCAATCCATGAAACTGTACTCATGGCGAACGCCGGCCTCTGTAGCCCTCTGTATTGCTCGTCTCACCGCTGAGGGATGATTTGTGGGATGGTGGCTTGTACTTCCCCGATGCGCGTCGACGCCCATGCCTCCCGACTGAAGGACCACGGCGTCCTCTGCGTCGCCAACACGGCACCGTGCTGCCCAAGTAATGCCTCCGAAGGCCATGAGTATCACGAGCATCTTTTCCTTCGCGCTCGCTTTCGGCTCTGTCCTCGATGACAAGGATGATCGATGAAGAGGAGACACTCTCGCGCTGCTGTTTCGCATTCCCGCCGCCCGGCTCCAGGTCTCGGGCGCTCACGGCCGCCACTTCGATCCTAATGTGCACTTTGCGCTCATAGGCCTCGGCCGAGGGAGGGAATGGCCATTGCTTTAAATTTTGTTCTCGGTGCGTTTTTGCGTTCTCTCTGCTTCCTTTCCTCCGCTCTCAGCCTTCCCTTCTCGCGTCGTTATGCTCTTAAGCCTCCTCTCCTCCCGTCGCCGCCCCTTCCCTCGTCTACCGTGCGTCCTCCCCCCTGCCCTCCTTCCTCTGTCCCACCGACTAACCCCCTCTCACCGCAGGCTACAGCATCCTCGCCTGCGTGCTGTACGTCTCTGTATGTCCTCCGCGCTCCCAATTCCGCCATCTACCCCAAGGACGAGCCCGCGCGCCGTGAAGCGCTCTCAGCCGCGCCCCGCAGCACCTGTCGAGATAGCGGAGGGTGTTACAGAAGCCGTGCACGCCATTCATCTTCACTTCGTACCTCACTCGCGATCATGATGCTATGCACGCCTCTCCGTATTCCAGCGCTGTGTGCTGTCTTCGCATCGCATCGCATCGCGCCGTGCCCCCTGCCCTCCAGCTAGTGCGGACGTCCCCAGCCCCAGCCCGTCCCTCAATCTACCAAATGCCCCTCCTCATTTTCAGCTCCGACGCCAACGTCCTTAGTGGCTAATGGCGCTGCGAATGCCGTTCAGCTTCAAGCCTCCGCTGCACCGCGAATAGGAATGTCCTTCACCTTGGCGCCTCCTCGGGTCCCGCCCCAAAGTACGCAGGATGAGGAACCCGACGCCACCTTGATCGATTGTCCGCCCCGGGGCTCTGCGCGGAAGGAGTCGCTTGGGAGTCTGTTGTACGCGAAGAGCAAGCAGCCCACGCGCCCCTGCCGTGCTCGCGACCGAGCGCCCAGGCAAAAGGAGCGGAGGTGGAGAACGCAGCGAGGAGGAGAGGATGCGCGCGCACGCGTCGCCTCCCCCTGCAGCTTCAGCACCCCCACGACCGAATGTCGTCGATGCCCCCGCAACCGCCCCGCGCAGGACGCGGCTCCCCCGCCCGGCGCGAGAGGTGGGATGCGCGCGGAAGGAGACGCCGGATACACGCAGGGCGCAGGACCCGAGTGGGTGGAGGGTGCTTGCCCGGGGCGGGGGCGGGGTGCGCGCGCACGTGTCGCCCTGCACCTCATGCAGGCCTCGACTCTCCCGCCCACGCCACGCCACGCAGGCGGAGGGCGCCGCGCAGGACTCGACTCTCCCGCCCGGCGCGAAAGATGGGATGCCCACGGGAGGAGGAGGCGCCGGATACACGCCGGACGCGGGCCTCGAGTGAAAAGAGCTTGCGCGCTGGGCGGGGTGCCCGCGGTGAGGATGCGCGCGTACGTGTCGCCCTGCACCCCGACTCTCCCGCCCACGCAGGCGGAGGAAGCGCCGTCGCGCGTGTACGACAAGGAAGCCGTCGTCCCTGGCGCTGTGCGCGCTGTGTGGGCTACTCGAGAGGCGACAGCCGGTGCCCGAGACGCACAAGATTGCCACGATGGTCGTCCGCTGAGGAGCTGGTGTGCTCAAGCTCTCCAAAGACCCCGCGCGCGAGATCTCCAAGGACCCGATCGATGAAGGCGCGGTGCGGTGGTTTGCGGCGTCCCCTGCCCTGCCCTGCGCGGCTGGTGCTCATTGCGATTGCGATTACGCAGCTCGCAGGACTCTCGAGGGCGCTGAAGCGGACGCGGAGCGCGACAGCGGGGCCGGCGGCACCGAAACTTCGAATGCGGAGGATGGATGCGGAGGTCGGGTACGGTGAGACGTTTCGTGTTTCCTTTGTAGATCGCACTCATGATCACTTTCTTGTTTCCTTTTCAGATGCGCAGACTCACGCATTTTGCGCAGCGGACGAAGATTCTGTGCATGGATAAGCGCGTGCCGGTGGTGAGGTGTGCCGTGGTGCGTTTCTGAATAAATGGGATTTTGGACGCGGGCTCAGTCTGGGGGGCGGCCTCACGCCGCGGCGAGGGGACGAGCCCGTTCTTGTGACCGAAGGTGAGGAGCGGGGAAGGAGCGGGGCTGGAGAGTACGCGCCTATACGCGTACGGCGCGCCGCCTTGCTGTTACGTTGGCGGCATGTGCGCGGAGGCGACCCCGCGTCGGCGGCATGTACGCGGAGGCGACCCCGGGTTGTGGGTGCGGTGGAGATGCGGGGTGGAGATGCAGAGATGGGCGGCGGGCGGGTGGCGCCGTCGCCGAGCGCGCGCGGGCGGAGATACAAGCGGAGAGAGAGCTCCCTCTCGGCGCGCGGAGCTGCGGGGTGTCAAGTGCATGCAGGCTGCAGGTAGGCGCGTGTGGGCTCGTAGAGATAGGGATGTGGGTGTCGGCGCCGGAGGCTATGTGGCGCAGCGTGCGCGAAAGTGTGGCGGGGATGGGATGGCGCTGCGACTCGGGTCCGGTGGAGAGGCGTTATCGCCTTCTTTCCGCATGTGCCGCTAGCTTGGGCACGATGGTGCGTCCGGGGCCGCTCGTGGCCGTGCATGTCCCAGGGTCGGGTCGCCGTGCTCGCGCGCCGCCTCGGCTCCCCGCGGCCTCGCCCCCAGGCACTACGAATGTGAATCCACGTGTGGTTGGCAGCGCGTGCCGCGGTTTCGAGGCGCGGCGCTGAGGATGGGAAGCGGCAGGGTGGGGGCGTGCGCGGTCGGGACGCGGAGCGGGGGCAGACTTCAGTGTGAGGAGGCGAACGGGCCTACAGTGCATCGGTGAGAGGACGCAGCAGCGGGCTTCCTGCTGGCGTGCGCGTGGTGTTTTCGTTTGCGAGCTCGCGCGTTCCCTCGTCGCGTTTTTCGGAGGTCGTCGTCCGAGGCCCGATATCGGTGCGAGGCGCGTTTTCGAGGTTGCGGACGAGGTGTAAGGGCGCGGGAAGTGGGGGAGAGTCGGAACGGGGAGGATGCGGGCGTCCGTCGGTGTGAACGCTGCGATTCCACCCGTCAAGTGTAGTGCATGACGCGCCTCGTCGCTCGGCTTGCGGGATTACCGCATATTGAGTCGTCTGGGGTTCCTCTTCAACCCACTGTCAGTTCAAGTTGAAAATATAACCTGTTTTGTGCCGAGCCAAAGCTGTGGGGGAGGACTGAATGCAATCAAGGATTTGAGAGTTTACAGGTAATAGATGTGGGCGCATGTGGGTGCCGAGTCATCTCTCGACCTGGGTCAGGTGCGTAGGTTCTGCACTGCCTCTTTTCAGCGTTACATGTGAACCTGAGAGCCCGCCTTGCGAGGCAAAGTCCCTCTAGATTAGAAGTTAAGATATCAGCATTGTGCATAAAACTACAACCAGACAGCGTATTTGTTACGAAATGAATACAAAGAAAAGAAATTTCCAGTGAGAAGCCCTGCAACAGCAGTCAGTCGCAAATTTCTGGGGGCAAGATTAATTCAATGTACCTTCATGTGGATGCGGGATCAGGCGTACGCACTGAGGGAGTTGGGTGCATCTGGTAGACCCTCCCAAGGAGAAAAAGATCGCACAGGTGAGTTAAATCGCACAGGTGGGTTATATGTGTTATATGTGAGTGCGAGATGAAGGCCATTCTGCACCAATGGCTGCAGGTCCGGGCGGATATCAAGCTCCATCGCCCGCTCAAAGCAGATTACAACGCGCTTCAGAGTCCTTGATTTAAGGAAGCGTAAGAGTGCTTTGTCGGAAATGGCACCGGAGCATTGGATCTCCAACGCCTGGAGGCCCGGGCAACAGGGAGTAGGGAAGTCGACAGATGGGCTTAAGGATTCTAAAAACTCGTCATCGAAACTCGCATCGTCAAGGTCGGAGCCTGGGTCTACGCTGATTTTGAGTTCGCAAAGAGTAGGTGGTAGGTCGCGAAGGCAACTAGCGAGAAAC